TATATATAAATATTAATTAAATATAATATAATTATTATTATTGGTAATATAATTATTATATATATTTTTATACTTTTATAGCGGTTTGGACATACCAAAATGAGAATGATCCAAAAATAGTATAAGTATGAGATTGTATAGTTAAGGATGACTTAAATGAATTAGTTTGTACTACTTATATTGTACATGCATTTTTTTTTCCAGTAGCTTATCTCATCAAAACTCCAGAGTTAAGCGTGCTTAACTTGGAGTAATATAGGGATCGGTGACCTTCTGGGAAGTTTTCCAGAAAATGTGCAGTAAGGACAAAACACGTTGAAAAGTGAAGTGTCATGAAATAGCATCCTTGAGAGGTCAAATATAAGGGTTGTTACATTAATAAATTTATTAAAATTAAACAAAAATTTTCCGAAGGTTATCTACGGATAAAATCCGTAGATAACAATTTTCGTGGGTTATTTACGGAAAATTTTTCATAGGTAACGTTATCTACAGAATGTTATCTACAAAATATTTTTCGTAAGTAACGTTATCTACGACCTTATTACTTACGGATTTTTTTTCCATAGATAATCCGTAGATAATCGACAATTACCTACGGATTTTCATGCTTATCTACGGATTTCTTCCGTAGATAATCCTGATTTTTCTTGTAGTGTAGTTAATGAGTGTGCCTTCAATCATCATTCTCTGCAAGAAGAATTTCCACTAGAAATGTGGATCACTAGTTAGCTTAAATGTAGCTAGATTCACCTTCTAGGCAGTAGGACACTCCATAGCCTTGAAGATCTTCTCCACATCAGTTAGCCAAATCCTGAATGAGGGAAGATAATGATGCTGAAACCTCTCCAACTAACTAGGAGCAACACCAGTCCTATTAATTTTTATTGCTTGCATTAATGCTTGAAGAGCATTAGCAACAACACAGTCATTCCTACTAGCCATAATATTGATACACAAAGCAAACACATTAACTGTCATATACTCACAAGATATATCAAGCACATTATCAGAGAGCACACGAAACACACAACATGACACATAACACACATTCGATTTGAATTAATCATACTCTGATACCATTAAATATAACACCTTCTACCCTGCATATATAATAATTATAATAAAGAAGTGCTTTAACCAAAATAACTGAGTTCATGCATAAATAACCAACTAGGTAGTATCAAATCTTGGAAGAGGGTATCACATAACAACTAAACATGTCGTTAAGTCCAACAATAACATCTAATAAAAACATAACCAAATAAATTTAACATCACATCCTAAGAACAAACAACATAAATGACAAGTTTTAACTACACCCCAATATCACATTTTATCATAGCACTCCTACACAAGGTCTAAAGCCTTGTTACCAACATCATTAACATTAGGATGAGTCTCACCTATAACAACATATATACCACAGTAGAGAAACATCTCACTTTAGATCATAATATAAAATAAGGTTGGATAGCTAAACACAATATATATATATATATAATTATTAATTATTAACAACTAAGTCCAATGGGATCAACACGATTCATCACATCTCATACAATTCACATTCACACATGTAATGCAATAGACATAAACTAAAATTTGCATATGCATGTGTAGCGTCATGTGTGTGTGTAGATTCACCAATTTGTGTGTAAATGATATATGTAACACAAAACTCAATACAATATTATGTTATCACTTTACATATTCATAACGACTTGTTAACACCAATCCACTTGCACTCTTCCATTACTTGCATTGTTAATAAAAAACTTAGATTACAATAGATATTTAATACATTTTTGTATTTTCCGTCTAATAACTATTTTTTAATATTCTTTCTTGTTTTTAGTTACATAAAGTTTATCCTAAAAGCTGATGTTAGAAAAAAAAAATTTCTTGCCAAGTACCAAACGTGACCCAATATTTAATTACTGTACTCACTACAAAAAATTAAGTAATTAGTAGGGGTTTTTTTTCTGGCGGTTTCAAGAAACCGCAACAAAATATT